TCTGCTTGTGTGATAGTACTTGTTACGGTTTCTCAGTTTCTTAAGTTGAGAGAGATACATTGTTTCAGGTCGGGGAGAGGTCTGCTGAGCTTAGGTCCGAGCTACGGGCTCTAGAAAGAAACTCTTTTTCAAGTGAACAGTCTGCGAGACTCGTTAACGAGGCCTTGGAGCTTTATGAAGAGTCGTCTATGGATGAAATGTTCAAAGGTAAATCAAGATGAAAACTTTATTTAGCCTTTTGATGTATTGTGAGATCTCAGGTTCTACTTCAATGGAATTATCTTGTTATGAGTTTCCATATTACATCATTGCATGCGTCTGACCCTGAAAACTCTTCTCTACCTAGCCTGCGAGTCACGAACATGACCAAATCGACATTTTGTTTTGCTGCTAGCTAATAGTTTGATCAATGTCCGTATCTCAATTAGAATATAGATATGATATCTCCTTACCATTTTCTGGAGATATAGTGCTGCTGTATGGCTTTGATGGGATTATTATTTGGCTTATACTATCAGTTAGTGGTAGTTCACCGTTTTTCTGTTTTCAGGTAAAATTTTGTTTGTTTGATTGTTCATAGCATTGACTAGAGATGATTTGCATCTCAAATATGGGTTTTCTGCAGAGATGGGAAAAATGGTACCAGAACTTCGTGCAGGGATCAATAGGCTGAAAACTCGAAGAAAGAACCCTGGCAAAGAGTTTACGGCGACGCCTTCTGGTAATAAAACTTGACATTGTTGTGATATTTTAAGAGTTTGAATAAGAAGTGTTATGTGCTTATTGTTTATCTTCCTTGTTTTTCTGTTTGGGGGTTCTCAGATGGAAACCTTGAAGACCTCGAAATGTTTATGGCGGAATTGAGGAAGATGTGAAAATGTCGAAGGAAAACACTTTTGGTTTTTGTAAATGACTTGCTTGACATCTTCTCTTTAAAGACTGATCATATATAAATATTTAGTCCAAATTTCTCAACTGCAAAATGTTCTCAATATTAATCAATGAAAACAAAGGTTTATTTTGATGGTATACAAAGAAGATGAAAAGCCATGAAAGTTATATAAACAAGTACTTAATGGAGAAATATCATTCATTCTAGTTGCGGTTTTGAATGTCATGTTTTTTTGGTTCAATCGATGGATTACTAGTAAAGCTACTTATCTTGAAGCAATATTTTTTTTTTTTGTGGATTATGCTTGACAAGAAATATTAAATATCACTAATTTTTTAATTTATTTGTGGATATTATTTTAGTTTCTGTAAAATGCAATAATTTAATTTCTCTTTCTACATTTTTTTGGGCCATTCTTTCACCAAAAGAAAGCAAAGAGTTGTGTTTGTATGGGATTGGATTGACCAAATGAAGATAAACCTTATCTAACGAATCACAGTTCAAAGCTCAGAAGCTGCCACGTAGGACTCATATCTCTCTAAGTCCTCATATGTTTACGTTTTCCTCACCTTTCACTTCTCCTCAAAGACCAACCAAACTCACATTTG